ATTTATATATTATATGCGCGGTACTTATTAGAAAGCGCTCAATATCAGAGAGCTAACACATCTATCCAACCAAATTTATATATATATATATATAAAACCTTGTTACTCTTCTTCCCACTCCACCTATGGATCAGACTGGGTTCTATAGCCTCGGATGGCAACTTGTCTAGGAGAAGGACAACCCTGAATTCAAAATCAGCGGTACTTAGTGCACCAAGTCTCTGTAATTGGCCCTTCAAAAAGTGTGGATCGTCCTGCACGAAGCCTTTAGCACTATAATCAAATCTCTTGTGCTGTTGTCGGGCTGTCGGTTTCCTTGGAACTGATCTGCTTGACCCTCATACGTCAAATTCGACGGGAGAGTATATATATATATATATATATATATATATACCTAAGTATATTGATTAATTTCAGTCAGATTTATACTTGAGCCTAAAGGTTAACAACAATCGTGTTTACACTTCATGGTTTGATAAATAAGGATCGTCTATACCCGAATCGCTAATTCTTCCTCTGTGTGGACGCGTCGGCGTAATCTACTTATCAGTATATGCACATCTTCGCCTATTTTTTTTTCTTTCGTTTTTGGATCTGATGATGCATACGAAGCCGAAGCACGTAATCAAATCTAGTTTCAATGAAACGATTTTTCATTTGTCAAGCATATAAATTGTCTTCATGTTGTTACTCTCATGAAGAATCTTAGGAATTTCATTGATGGAAACTTTACAGGTGACATGTTGTACCTGATCTTCTTTTCCCCACCAATCCCAAGACGGACTTTGTAAACAGGAGATCTTTAGCCAGCTTCGTTTACCTGCACGTTACTCACGTATTCGAGAATTTGTGAATAAAAAAAAATTATAAAACCGAACGTTTGGTTGAGCGGGATCACTGATTTGTGCAGCAAGGTCTCCCGAGGACACATTTCCAGGTTATCCTTTTTAAGGGTATATAAGGATATATAAGGAATGCTGTTCTCAAAATAGAATCTGAAACACTTTGGGATTTAAAGAATTCAATTGACAAGAGTCAGGTTCTCTTACACCTGAAATGTGTCAAAATTCCATTCGAAGCTTTCATGGAGATTTGCGAATTTGGATTGACATCTGTGTGTCATCTCACGTAAAGAATAAATTGCTCCACCTCCATATATATATATATATATATATATATATATATATATATATATATATATATATATATATATATCTGTGTGTGTGCGTTTTTTGTATGAATGCATTTGGTTGTGTGTCTATAAGCGATTTTATATTTTTACTTGTTTATTCTTAAAATTTTCGTTGTTTTCACATACTTTAAAAAGTTTTCATTTTTTTTTTAACTAAGCGATTTTTATCTTTTTTTCCAACTCGCGTCACGCCAAGCAAGGCGTTAAATTTTATAAGTCACACCATCAGTTCGTCAAGGGACCTATCCTATCATAAAATCGCAAAGAATGTAAAGCTAAAACATAAAACTTTGCCCATGTGTGGAGTTAATCTCACATTTAACATCGCTGAAAAAGGAATTAGCAAATCGGAGTTCAAATTTCACTGAAGCAATTTAGATTTCACTTCGCACTAATGGCGATAGAAAAGGCAAGAATATACAATATGCTGATACCATGTTCGCTGAAGAGGAAATAAGAAGCATCTTGTTTCCTCAACTGAAAAAAATAAAGTGATTTAAAGATACTGCATGCTACCTTGAAGATGTCGGATTATTTGATTCGAGCTAAAAATCCCATTACACTAATGTAAAAAATAATGTTGATTGGGGATTTCAAAATGCTCTTATTTAAAAAAAAATACCGATGGTCCTTTTACCTGAAGAGGCTAAGATTGGAGTGCTTAAGGAAGCACTCATATGGGAGTTTGTTCTACAAATGTTAATAAAACTTTCCTCTAACACACGGAATATGGGGGAATTTAGTGTGATTCGACTCCGTGCAAATGGCAAAGTTTTACCTCCTAGCTGTAAATATCTGAACTGATGCAATTAAAGAATTCAGCTCATTTGAACATTTTCTATGGAAATGGTGATAAAGTAGTTCTTTAGCCATGATAGCAGTCGGAGAAGGACAACTCTGAATTCACTACTGTAGAAAAAGACACGGGAAACTACACTACTGTTCTTGCCATGTATTAATGGCAATTCATATGTATTAAATGGATGAAAGCTGTGGCAAGCCATAGTCGCCTGTACCCTGGGTGGATATAGCATTTAATAACTGTCTGATATCTTAAATTCTAATCTGTCTAGTTGTATATGTTTACTTCACATTTGTTTAAAGTTATATATGCACATAAATTTTCATTTTAGATATTAAGACATAAATAAAGTTACAAGCTAGATACACTAGTCAGCACAATTACAGAGAAGCGGAATGAAACGCAACAGAAAAGCGGTGATAAAAAGATCTTTGCCCTAATTTCATTCTGTCGTTGGAATAAGTGAGGATGAACCTTCATCCTTTGTTTTCTTTTATTTGTTTTCTCAAACCAACATTAGGAATGAGGCAATAACTAATAAATAAAGCTAAACATATTCCTTACTATCAGCGTTGACCGTGCTTGATTCAAAAATCGTACGACTCATACAACAATCGCTATCACTTGACTTAAAATATTTTTGCCCTTCCTTGCCTTTAAAGGAGTGCCCTTTGCCGTGCTGATGTTGCTACATGCCTTACTTCTTGCCTATCTCACACTGCGAATTTTTTCTAAGCTCTATACTAAACATTAAATCTGTTACGAAAAATAAGTAAACAAAATGAACACGAAACGATCAGCTTTAAAAAAAAAGGACTCGTAACTGGAAAAACCGAATGAAAAAAGAATGTTAACAACAAATACTTTTTCACAAACCCAGTTCTGCGGAATCAGAATCAACGTTGAGTTTAAGCAAGCGAATGAGCCAATAGGAATAAAGTGTCATGCAGATTTAAATTTTTCCCACTTGTGACGGATGCAGCTATCGATTTTTTTGCATGCTAGCATGCTAGTTAACATTCGTGTGAGTCAGCTGTTGGCTCTCACGCTGGCCAATAGAATATTCCTGCCTATTCGTGGCAGCCAGCTATAGGCTCTCACTCTACCCAGTACAAAATGGCCGCAAACTACATGAAAAGTGCTGTAGAAGCATGAAAAAAACGATTATTTCCACTATCGATGGGAGTTGGGAAATGCAACGTCGGTCTTGGCCTTCCTGCTAACTTGGAGCATGTGCATGTAAATTTTGGTGCAAATCCGTCGAAAATTGCGGCCGTGCATTCGTTACACACACACACACACACACACACATATCCTGCCTTTTATAAATAGAGATTGGAATATTTCTACATGACACGAATAGACCAAGTCCAGACTATGAAAATGAAGGGAAACCAAGGTGGATAGTGGCTTGGATTGAGGAATCAGGGAGCCGAGTTCGAATTCCAGTCGAATCCATTATATTCACTTACGTGCTAATACCCTTGGGAAATGTATGAATCTTTTTCTTCTCCCCCACCCCCATCTATATGTAAATAGCAAAACAGGGTTCTATAGCCTTTGATGACAACTGGTCTACCGCAGAAGGAAATGAAAACCTACGGCGAGAAAAAAATCTGCTTCGTCAGTCATGTATCGAAAGATACATGCTCTACTAAGCTTGTCTCACGCATGGCACATAACTGACTGACTGATGATGATTATATTATAACTGGTAGAATATCTGACTGTTTGGGAGCCAACTGTGATACAATATAAATGGTCAGGGATGACAAGATCAAAGGAAAATTGTTGTTATTCAATATGATGTAATAAAAGAAAGATGGAAAACATGGAACGTTGTCAGAAGATGGACACCGCAGATGATTTATATAAAAAAGCGACTTTTCTCCAGCGCATTCAAGCATATAGGCGGTGATGCTGAAAATGTCATGGCTCGTCTATGAAGGTTTTCATAAAATTTTATTTTTGAGCATTTAGTTAGAGTTTCTGAAATGAATTAAACCGGGATCCCTTCAGCACATCCTTATATTTGCGCTTAGATATTCCCCTATTTTAGTGAAACGATTTAAAATATGTAAATTTTATCCTTTGTTTAATCCAGACGTTGTGAAAAATGGAAGCCTTATCATTTGACAACACGTAGACTCTACCTGAATGAATGGCCAGACAAGGACAAATTGGTATTTTAGTTCTACTTAATCCTTTCACCTACCAAGCAAAATAATGAGGTCGCTAACATACTGATGTTTAATTCGACTGAAAAAAAATAAGAAAAATTGATTTGGAAGAGGGGACAATAAAAGCAGACAGTTGACGACGATTGACGTTGCAATTTAATTTTAAAAGATCAGAGTTAACCAGGAAAGAAATAGAAACGAAAGAAATTTCCTCGAGCGAGACTTACAAGAGAAGAAAGCATTAGAATAGAACTTATGGTCGCATCTAGCAATGTGAATAGTACAAGGATTGAGCCTAGTTGCCTATGTATTCAGTCATTTATGTGCCAAGCGTTATAGTCGCTTAGGCGATCATGTTTCGATACATGACTGGCGAGGCAGATTTTTCCCGCAGTAGGTTGCCATTTCTTTCTGTGGTAGACCAGTTGACGTCCAAGGATATAAAACACGATCTGTTCTGCTATTTACCCATATCTGTGGTGGGAGGGAGAAGAAGAGGATTCATACCTTTCCCAAGGTTATTAGCACGTAAGTGAATGTAATGGATTCGACTGGAATTCGAACTCGGCTCTCCGATTCCTCAATTCGAGCCGCTATCCATTAACCGTTGTACTGCACTTAAATTTGTGAAGTCGAGGTACACATGTGGCATGCTCATCAGAACAACTAGCATGAAAATATTTACAAGGAGGCTAAGTTACGTGGTTGGGAAAATAATAAGTCGAGATGCCAGGTCAGGACTGATAACATTGCAGATTCTTCTTTAGATTTGGTCAAGAATCAGAAGTTATTAAAATATTTAAGACATCAAAAGACAGGAAGAGCGATGATCGACCATTTACAGAAAAAAACATGGGAGGTAAAAGGAGAAAGTCGCTTGTACTTCAAGCCGGAGCTTGTTGAAACACACTGTAGAAAATGGAATGAGAATAACTAGAACTATCTTTACTAATTACAAATTCCCAGATAATAAGGAAAGGTAATCAGTGAAGAGAGCTGGTTGATATTTTTTTCTGAAGGGCCAAGAAATTTCAGGGGACGAGTTATTTGAAGTTAATGTTAAGTTTTCTTTCATTATTTTCTTGTTTTCATCTTCGTTCTTCTTTTCATAACCTGTTGATACGTATATAGTTATTTACCCTAGTTTGTTTTTTTTTTTGTGGGGGGTATTCCTTTTCCCACTTTTTCTACCTTCTCTTTCTTTTTCTTTTCCCTTCTCACCTGTTCTACCTCATACCTCTTTCCTTCCTTTCCTTTCTTTCCTTTCTCCTTCTAGTTCACTTCGTTCCTCGACCGCTTTTCTTCTTCCTCGCCTTTTTCTTCATTGTTTCTTCTTTTTCTTCTTCCTTTCTTCGCGCCTTTTTTTTTCTTTTTTTTACCTCATTATCGTCCTTTTTTTTCTCATTGCTTATTTCAGTTCATTCAGTTTCTTCTTATTTTTTATTTTTATTTTTCAAACTTCTTCTTGTCTAAAACCTTTCCTCTTTTTCCTTTTCCATATTATTTTTATTTTAAATTCATTCGTTTCCTATTTCATTTGATTCACTTCGTCAATTTGTTTCCTTTAGCAGTTCAGTCACGACTTTTTGCAAGAGAGAATCCATCACGTTCTCCGTTGGAAGCGCTAATATTAAAATCTTTATCGAATGAACATAAAAGCCTGACAATATTGAATTCTTCAGACTGACGTATATTTGTTCGCTTTCTCCTTCAAACCCAAACCTTCACTCTGCTCTATCAATTCGATTGTCTGTTGCAAAGTTCATTCGTTTGCTTAGGGAATTGTTTATCCTTTTTATCATATTTTTTTATTTTCTTTTGAGATTTAAGATACAATCACCTTCGTCTTACTGAATATACGGCCCATTTAGAAAACTCTTGAAGATTTGCGTTCACGTCTTTTAGACAATCCAATTTTTACAGACAATGCTGAAAGTAATGTTGTATTAAAAATATAAAGAATAAAAGTCCTACATTCGTTTTTTTTTTTTTTTAATTTTTTGGTCACTTTTTGTTTAGCTTTGATCAACAAAAGATACCCGTGAAAATAGTTCGTATTAACACGATGTGAAGTCTTCTGTTAATTACTTTCTTTACACACTTATTTTTATATTGTTGTTTTAAAATTCAACGTATGAAGTTTCTTTGTATGTTTTTACATTGTCCCCTCGTTTCTTTATTTGTAATTCAATTTCACGTTGCAACACACAGATTTACTTTTTTTGTTTAAGATCCTTTTTTTAGTTTGTTTGTTTGTTTGTTCTACGGCTTCCTTTCTGAGTCCACAGAACAATTGTCTGCTCAGAATTAAGCAAGCTCGCGTCCTGCATCTGACGATAAACCACACCCGGCATCAAGGCCATTTGTGGAGTGCTGAACCATCACACAACTGCTGCTTTTCCAAGGTCAACTCCGATCCGGAGTGGTAGCACCTGATAGGGTCCCAACTATAGGCAAATCAACAGGTCATTTTTATAGTAAAATAAACAAGAATAATTTCTATAGCAAAATGACAATCAGTGAAACGCTAAAAAAGTATAAAAATACATTTTTATAAAAATTGTCAGCAATAAATTTTAGATAAAAAAAAAAATGTCAACAATACACTTTTGTAGTAAAATTATCAGCAGCACATCAAAAAAAAATCTATTTTATTATCTACAAGCTATATATCTAAAGGTACATTTATCCTGAAAATATAAAATTGTGTACAAAATGTTTCAGTTTCGGCACTAAATAACCCATAGAAGTTATTTTCAAATATTCAATATTTATTTTGCAAATCTTCAAGAGTTTTCTAAATGGGCCGTTTTTAGGTTTCGCTAAAGAAAGACACTTCAGATGGAAACCCGATAAACAAAATTTACCACTAAGCAAGTTCAAATCTAGTACAATGCCGGGAGCTTGTTATCCGGTATCTTTATTTTAGTAATATCATATATATTCTAGTACTTTAACTCGGAATTGTACACCTAATATTTCCCTCTGCTGAGAAATACAGAAACCACAGGAACAGATTAGTACACACATCTCTATCTGCTAAAGAGTAGTACCAAAAAGTATACGCAGCTAAGAGCAGGTATCTCTTCCTTTCGACTGAATAACGGCGACCACGAGACGTAATATAGTGTCTTTGAGGTACCAAAGCCATTGCGTGAGTATATCTAGGCATATGTCGCGGCTCTTTATAACTGAGATATTTATCATGGGTTTGGCTGCAGGGCGGTTAATGGTATCCCCAACATGACCCATATTTAATGCTATCATTAAACAGACGAATGAAAACACCAGACTAAATCTCTCACGCTTAAAATGACTGATTATTCAACTCTGGATTTAGTTATTTAATATCGGAAATTGGATGTGGGGATTTTTTTTATTGCGAACGTCACTTCTTCTCTCGAGTATGTAAGAGACTCTCTCCCTCCACCTGTTTGTTAGAACGCTTATATATCTACCTGTTATATGGTTATCCCATCTGGGTCAGGTGGTTGATTACAAGGGGCAGACACTGACATTATGTGACGTGAGAAATATGCACCTGCTAACTAGAAGATCATATTCCAGGCTTAACTTCTGATTCACCTGGTTTCTCTGATGATCCGGTGTAAGAGTGAGTGTAAAGTCTACTGTGGTACATATTGGGGTCATCTCAAAACAACTTATCTTAGAACAGTGTTGAAATTAGATTCCATTTATTCAATGTGATATTTCTTCGCTATTTCTTTTCATTTTCCCACAATGCATATATATCCTTAATTGGATTAAAATCTGGCGAGTCTGAGACATAATGATCTACCTGGTGGTATCCAAGTGGGAACTCTTGGTTTCACGTTCACTCGCTCACGATCGATGTTTTGTGCTATCTTGCTTAAAAAAACCATGCCATCAGCTGCAATGACATTAGCTACAATAGCTCATTATTTGTTACGACAAATGGACATCATTAGTATGACACTTTGTTCGAACACAACACTTTTGTTTGTTTGTACTTAGTTTTATTGAAGAATATATCGACCGAAACGCTGTGGCATAAAAGACAATGATGAGTTCAACTATCTGAACTGTTTGCAATGCTATATTTGCAGACTACTCTGGAAGTACCGAACATCGAATTCACTAAAAATCCCCTGGCAGAATCTTATTTTAAGTCAGGTTTAAGCCTTTAATACCTACTCTAAAAAAATTCAATAACAGTATTGATTTATCAAATTTAGCATCCGATTTTTGACCGCAGGTCATGTTATTTATAAATAGACACTAATAGCAACTTAATACCGCAGAGTGCGTCGAGGAACACAAAACCGAACATGATTTTCCAATGTCGCTGTTTTATTGTTATTAGAGTTATAATAAAACTTTTTTAAAATGTTGTGATGTCTAAGGAAGTGTGTGGTTAAGTAAAAAACAAAGAAAATCTAAACCTTTCTTAGTATAAAATAAAAAAGAAACAACAATACCTGTTTAACCTTTACCAAAAAAAAAAAAAAAAAAAACGTAACAAAACAATTATTGTTTTTGATTAAGACATAAATTCTTTGCGATGCATTAGGACACAAGAAAAACAGTTTAGATTTCTAGGGTACATAATGAGGAAAAAGGGTTTGGAAATTCTGATACTCACAGGACAGACTGAAGGCAAGAGGGGTAGAGAAAACCAACGCATAATCTTCCTAGAGACTTGAGTAAATGGATGGTGGATCAGGATTTAGGAGAGATAATAAAAAGAGAAAATGTATTAAGAGCTTACAATGGACTGGAGATTGTGAAGAACCATGACCGCCTACGTCCTGAAGGGACACGTCACATAGAAGTAGAAAATCCTTCGTTTTTACCGCATTATAACGTGCCGGTATCATCATTTTTTTTAAATTTAAATAGTATTTATCAATAACGTCATTAACTTTATTTGCAATAACTGCAGACTAAAGAGAAGGGCAAATTTCAAGTCGATGTTTAAAGAAACCTAACGTTTTCCTGGAAAACGTTTGTAAAACGGTTTTCAACTTTTTGAAAAGTCTCAATGCTCTGCAACTTATGCAATGCTTTGCAGAGTGCACCTTTCCATTGTCATGCTGGCGAATATCCCTTGTTCTGTTCACTAAAGAAAGACACTTCAGATGGAATTATTTGTTTAATCCATCAAAGTCCACTGACATCTACAGTGATTTTTTTCCGTGTTCAACCAGCTCGTAATGGACAACACCTTTCATTTTCCAGTAGTAAAAAATTCAGGGGATAGGGTCCGTGTTTTGGTGTTTGCAAGGATTTCTCATTCGGTAATAACCACTGTCCTTTTCTTCATCAGTTGACATGGAAAACCTGTTTTTAACAACTACAGCAAAATGCGGTGCAAAGGTCGGCATTCCGAGTTAAGACCATTGAACCTGCTAGAACCTTGTGTTTGTTTCTCTACTGAAAGCTCATAAATGACCTAATATCTGTCGGTGAAAGATTTCCCAATGAAACTCTGAAATGATCTATAAACGACAAACTGTCAAATAGAAGAGATGATAATCTATTTCTAGGCGTATTGTCCTGACGTTCGTTCTTGTTTCTGCTTTGGGTGATTGTTTAACAGCGTGTTAAATAAAGGAGAATAGTTTAAGGTTAAGGATTAGATAGAAAGATAATTCAGCTAATAAAAAGGTTGTTTGATATATATCGTATTTCTGGAAAATACGATATATATCAAACACCCTTCTTAGCTGAATCATGATGATTTATTTGACAGGGATGATCCACGATCATGATTCCTGCAAGTAGAAAAATTAACAGTAAAAGATGCAGGATAAAACTGTCTTTTTATTCGCCAGTAAACGTACGAATAAGCAACTACCGACAAAGCAAAGTTTTCTGATTTTAAAACAAAATGGAGTTGCTTCCTCCAAATTGTTTCGGTGAGAATTTTTTTGCTTACCAGTAAGATGCTAAAATAGGGGAAGATTTCTCGCTGATGTTCTCACTCTCTGTCTTTGGAAATCAACAGACGAAGCTAATACAAACCCTATGCGTTGTGCTATTTGTTACTACAAAGAAATCTTTCTAGCGGTGAAAAGACGACTGATTTGATTTCTCGTAAGAAACAGAGACTGTGCCATTTTGGGGTATTGGCTTAAAGGCAGTCGCAGAGAATAGCATAGTGTTAACCAGCACGATCCACTGCCAGAAAACGACCGTTTGTACCACATATGTCGTGACCTCACAGTTGTTTCATATCGGCGAAATGCGAAATTTCCGTGAGCCCTAAAATTATTCTTTAAACCAGAAGTAATATGTGTAGAGAGGTCGTAATGGACCAAATTTTAATGAAGAAAAGTCTTCCTAATATTTATTAAACACAGCATTGTACTGTACAAGATCAAACCGGGAGAATTCCTGTAGAATCATTTGTTGCGTCTGCCTTCCAAAAACCAAGTGTTTTCTAGTCTTTATTTGCTTTCTTCTGAGAGCAAATATGACAAAAAGTTTACGGGTGGGTAAATGCAAAATATAGCCCTGTCTTCCGTGGCTTATACTTGAAAGACGTTAGAACTACTTTTAGTACCACCAGGAGAAGCTACCACGTACTTGTAATCTCCAGGGATTAGTCGCGCTAATTTTTTTTTTTTTTTTGCCATATCTTGTCCGAAGAGACTCGACGTATCGTAACTGAAAATCTGAATGAATCAGCATTCTAATCCTCTTTAAATTGAGGTCGGACACGAAAATACGACAGCTATGAGAAAACATGTAATGATCTCAGATATTTTTTTACTAATTGATCACGCAATGCAAAGCGCAAGAACGATTCAAGATAGTGGGTTACTGAAGGAGGTTGTTATATGTACGTAAGATCGGGACTGGTTTGGTTTGTTTTCTGGTTGGGTTTTTTTGGGGGGGTTATGGTATATCAACCTCAATGGGTTATTTAATGCCGACAAAATTTTCATTGCTGGTAATATTTTTTTCAAAAAATCTATTTCTGGTAATATATTTTTCTTCAGAATTCTTTTTCTGGTAGTAATTTTCCTTCGCTGGTAATTTGTTTTCAAAAAATGTATAGCTGGTAATATTTTTTTTTTACAAATTATTTCTGGTATTAAAATCTATTTTTTACGCTTTCATAGAGTTTTGATCCCAGTTTGGGGGTTAACACTTTGCCCATAGCAGGGATCCTAACAAGTGCTACCACCCCGGGTCAAATTAGACCTGGGAACACCAGCAATTAAGAGGTGTTTCCACGCTCGTCAAAACCTCCTGATCAGAGTCTTTGCTGTTTATCGTGTTATCCAGAACGCGGGTGTAGTTTATCGTCATACCCAGGACGGCGTAAGACGAGGAGGTAAGATTACGATAAGTACGAATAACGACTGTTCCTAGTAATGAAAATCTTTAGATTGTAGCGATCGGGTAAGCATCATCTTGGGAGTCTATTCCACTAAACATCAGATCTTTCAATGTAACTTTATTATTAAGGGAATACTAGATTATTTCTACCACTGTATATGGCGTATTTTATTTGTTAAAGTCAAAATTTGTTGGAAACAATTAATGTAGCTTATCAGAGCATTTGCCATGGAAATAGCGATAAAGGAACATAAGGATTGTAAGTATTTGTTAGTGGGAGAAGGAGTGCATGAAGTAAACCAAGTTTTATACTATTTAAATTATTCGGACTATAGCCCTCATCTTTGTCGCCATATTTAATAATGTAAATAGTGTACATAATACCTCATCTCAGAAATATAGACAGATACCAAGTTTTATGTTTTTATTTATTTGTCCTTGTTTTTGAATATTTCTTTTATCTTTTACCAAAAATATTATTAATTATTTATTGTTCAGTAATAATTTTTTTAAAAGATATTTTAAATTCCAAACTCATACACTCAAATGAACGCCTACGGGAAGTTGGATAAAGGGGTCATCTCTCCTATTATGGAACAGGAACTAATTTTGGGTTAGATTCACTTGCGCGTATCCTCAATAAAGGATAATTTTGACACACTCTTGTTTCATGTAATCCTAGTTTTCTACCCAAATATAAACAAACGCAACGTTATCTGCCTCATGCTCTCATAACTAGCTTGACAGATATATTCCAAATATATACATTTCAACCCTCCTTGTAAAAATAAACCTTGCTCTACCCATCTTGTAAAAGTGACAGCAGAGGCGCAAATACGTTCCTCTTCCCTGAATATGTTCCTTTAGATGTCAAAAGCTGAGAAACGTTTAGCCACTGTGATAAAGACCACCATAGTTGTCTCCTCCTCGAAAAGTTGTGAAATGTTCGAACATCACTTATGGACAGCAGTCAAATTACATTGAATAAAGCTTCACTACAAACTTCGTCTGCTTTTCTTTACGGCCAAATATCAACTCCTAACTTTCAAAGACGTCTTTTCATCTTTTGCTTGTTTCTTTCTTTCTTTCTTTCTTTCTTTCTTTCTTTCTTTCTTTACAGTCTATTCATATCTATGTATCAGTCTCTCTACTTTTTTCTCCATCCCAACCACTTACCGTTATTTTGAGTGACATACCCAACATGGAAAATGTGGAATCATGTGGATCAATTTAAATTTCTTATTCTCTGTATTGTCTACATGTTTGGAAAAATGGCAGCAGGCGTCAAAGTACACTCCTCTTTTCTACACTTAGTCCCGAACATTTTCAATAACAGACACAAATTTAACCATCAGCCCCTAACTTCTCGAAGATGCCTGTTAACCTTTCTTTCTTTCACTGTCCTTATTCTTTCTTTCTTTCTTTCTTTCTTTCTTTCTTTCTTTCTTCAGATTTTGTCTTCCTTTCTTTCCCACCATAGTCTCAACAATAACATAATGAAAATGTCGTCTACTTGCTTTCTTTTCTTGATTTGCTGCCTTTATTTATTTATTTGTCCATTTTCTTTCTTTCTCTCTTCCTTTCTTTATTTGTTCAAATTCCTTCTTTCTTTTTTCTTTCGTTCTTTCTTTCGATGTACATGTTCTTGCTTTCTCTCTCATTGTCCTTACTTGCTCAGATTCTTTCTTTCTTTTTTTGTCCCGACTATTTCTTTCTTTCTTTCTTTCTTTCTTTCTTTCTTTCTTTCTTTATTTCTTTCTTTCTTTCTTTCTTTCATCTATGTTCTTGCTTTCTCTTTTTTCTATCTTTATTTGCTTAGATTCTTTCTTTTCCTCTTTCCGACCAGAGTCTCAGCGATACCATTTTCAAAGTGTCGTCTTGTTTTTTTTTTTTTCCTTTCTTTACTTGGTTCGTTGCCTTTCTTTTCTTTCTTTCTTTCTTTCTTTCTTTCTTTCTTTCTTTCTTTCTGGTTGTCCCAGCCTCTCCATACCAATCTGTCTCTCTATTTCAATTACCTCCCCAACCTAAACACTTTGCTGCAATTCGAGTGAAACACCCAACAACGAAGCAGTCTTTGGCCAATTTAAATGTCTTACTGTCTATCTCTTCCACACGTTTAGCACAGCGATGGGGTTGGGGAAAAAAAAAAAGGAAGAAAGAAAAAAAAATGATATATTCCCCTTCATATCAAGCTCCACCCCCACTCACTTAATCCTCGCCAACCACCGCCCGCACCTTTACTACAACTAACGTCGCCACCCGTCAATCCCAACATTGGTTCGACATGAGGAAAAATGGCAACAGCGGCCATTGAATTTTTTCTATTGAAATGTTTGCTTCGCTCCAGTGCCAAGAAAGTGTCTTTTCGGGCCGCTACTTTGCGCTCGGCAGTATCAATATTTGTCGCTGCCGCCGATTGTGCCTCTTTCGCCACCACATCTGCATTCGACGGCCAGTTGTCAGGCGAAAGTTAAAATCTTCATTCGGCATCTTCAGCCCAATTTCCCTATCTCCGAGGAAACCCCCTATCCTTCATTCCATTCTTTTACTGATTCGGCTGCCATCTCTTATCTGAATTTCTAAGCTTATTTACTGAACGGTCATTCAGAAAATGAACTCAGTTATTATTATTATTATTATTATTATTATTATTATTATTATTATTATTAATAGTAATACTACTGCTACTACTGTTGCTGCTGCTATTCATTCAGTATTTCTTTATTCTTTCAATATTTTTCTCATTATTGTGACGTAATATTTCATATCACTTTGTCCTTTTTTATAAAGTTATTACTTCAATATTTATTTTTTTTAAATATCCCTTTTACCTCCTTCTTTTCTTTATTTAAATTCCATTATTTTTGTACTCCCAGAGCTTTTGAATTATTCCTAAATTTTCACTTTTATTTAAATCTCCGTCTTTATTTTTGTTGTACTTTGTAAGATTAACCACAAACGTTGACTTCTTTCTTTTGTATTTGTTCCATCTATCGTTCTTAAATTCCTGCTGCCTTGCCTTTTTTGAATTTCTTTTTAATTTAATATTTGTTTTTTTGGGGTTTTTTTTTTTCATTCAAATCTTTTAATTTTTTTTTTTTTTACATATTGAAAAAAATCTAGAAATGGAACTGACCGAATTCCAAATGATTGGAGAAAATCCGACATGTTTTCTTTGTCTCTGAAGATGGCGCCCATTCACGCCCGATGCTTTTACATTATTTATTTCGTTTGTTTGTCATTTGGTGGTTTGATCCCTCGCTATCTTGTCCTGGGATTCTTTTTTTTTAATATTTCTCCCCTCTTTCTTTCTTTCTTTCTTTCTTTCTTTCTATTTACTCCATATTTCTTTCTATTTACTCCATATTTCGTCCTTTCTTTCTTTCTTTCTTTCTTTCTATTTACTCCATATTTCTTTCTTTCTATTTACTCCATATTACTTTCTTTTTTTCTTTCTTTCTTTCTATTTGTTCCATATTTCTTTCTTTCTTTCTATTTACTCCATATTTCTTTCTTTCTATTTACTCCATATTTCTTTCTTTCTATTTGTTCCATATTTCTTTCTTTCTTTCTTTCTATTTGCTCCATATTTCTTTCTTTCTTTCTATCTACTCTATATTTAGCCACTATTTTTCTTGTTTTGCATATGAAATATCTCAAATAAGAAATGACCGAATTCCGAGTGATTGAAGTCAGTCTGACGTAGTGCTGTTTGTCTCTAGAGATCGAAAATAGATGAAGGTTTTCTTTCTTTCTTTTGTTTTTTTTATTTATTTCCTTTTCTTTTCCTTCACGTCATTTCTCGTTATTTTTCTTTTTTTCTAATTTTTCTTTTCTTTCTTGTTTAATTCTTTTTTTTATTTCCCTTTTCCTTTCCAACTCTTTTTACTTTCTTTCTTTGTTCCTCTTTTTTATTTTTCATTCTCTTTCTTTTTCTGTTTTTCTTTCTTTCCTTCCGCATTCCTTTTGCTTTTCTTCTTCCCTCATTCTCTTTCTTTCATTCGATTTCTTTCTCTTTTTTTCTTACTCTGCTATTTCTCTCTTTTTTTTCTTTCTCCTTTGCTTTTTTTTTTCTAACTTTTGTTTTTTTTATTTCTCCTTAACTTTACATGGTTTTCTTTCTTATTTGAATCCATTCCTTCTTTCTCGTTTTCTTTTTACTCTTCTACATTTGTCGTTTTATTTTATTTTTGTTTCTCGTTTTCTTTTATTTCATTCTTTTTTGCGTTCATTCTCTATTTCATTCCTGTCTTTTTCTTTTCTTTCTTTCTTTCTTTCTTTCTTTCTTTCTTTCTTTCTTTCTTTCTTTCTTTCTGTCTGTCTGTCTGTCTGTCTCTCTCCCTCTCCTATTTCCATTTAAATTCTTTCTTTCTCCAACTTCAATTTACATTCTTTCTTTCTTTCTTTCTTTCTTTCTTTCTTTCTTTCTTTCTCCCCTCTCCTATTTCCATTTAAATTCTTTCTTTCTCATATTTCAATTTACATTTTTTCTTTCTTTCTTTTTTCTTTCTTTTTTTCTTTCTTTCTTTCTTTCTTTCTTTCTTTCTTTCTTTTACTCTCTCTCTCTCTTTCTTTCTCTCTTACACTCTTATTAACTTAATTCCTATCTCTATCTTTACTCTCTATCGCTTCTTCATATTTTAATATATTTATTCCTTCTACCGTTCCTTTTTTTCACAGGGACATTCTTCTTCAGATTTTTACATATATGTTTTACATGTTCCTCATTCTGAACAATCACGAACAGAAAATGTCTGAAAAACGCGAAGCTGGATTAAGTCTGACAGGTTTTTTCCTGGCCTTTAGTTATTGAGATAATACTCACATATTTTCCTTCCTCTTTTTTTGTCTCTCTCTCTCTCTCTCTCTCTCTCTCTCTCTATATATATATATATATATATATATATATATATATATATATATATATATATAGTAACCGAGGTACCCGGATTGCCCGAGTGTACATGACTGCAACTGTATAGCTACACCCCCTGTATACCCGCACGCCCCTGTGTAGAAATGTCTGCCTTCATCCCCTTTTCCATTCATCATCTGTTGGTGTACTAATCTACTTATGCCACTCATCTTTTTTACGGTATGTAGTTCGCAAGTGTTTGATCGTTCATAACAAGGGAATTTCAGCGATAAAACCTTCTTGTGTCGTTTGTTGCTCGGGGTTAAATTGTTTCAATGTTTTAAATATTCAGTAAATTTCCTTTAACTTTGAAATAGTATGGCTTCCTTCTCAAATCTAATAATCAAGCAAAAACAGGGATGAAGTGTCAGAGCTTGATTCAGCTGCAAATACAAACGCATTAATGACCTCCTCGTCCTCCTTCACACGTTTACTGTAAAGCTGGGGTTAGTAAGAGATTCTTTTTCTCTTTTAATGCTTCAATAAAGCACCTCAAACAATCTTTGCATCAAAGGTTGTTTGAATGCCAATTTAGGATAGAATCATATGAAGAAACTGGCGAAATGGCAAAAGCCAGTAGTGGACCTAGCTTGTCGCATATTTCGTACACTTAACTGAAATAATCTAAACCAAACATTCATGCAAGACAATTTTTGTGTCATATGTAATTTACATGGCAATATTTGTAAAGCATTGGATGAAAAAGAGAGTTAGGGCCGGGCTTTTTGAAAAGTTTTTCGTGTTTTTTCGTTAAACGCGGAGTAGTGAGAAGAACTAAAATGAAACTTATTTCCAGCATGATGGTAAAATTTTTTCGACATGTTTGAAGAAAATCGGATAGAAAGTGAGGAAGTTATTCAAGTTTTTATTTTATGTAGTACGAAAAACCCGATTCTTTCACAGTTTTTTGCAATTTTTTGTGTGAAGCCAATTTCACAGGAAAACTATCAATCACTATACGTAAGCATCTTAACATGAGCTATGGTTTTTATTAAGTGCAAGAACATTAGCTCATCCAGTAACAATTTTGTTATATATATATATATATATATATATGAGGGTAAGCATCCTAATAATATAAAATATTAAAACTGAGCCCCAAAAAAGACAACTCTGTATATTTATTATATACCATATAAATGAATTGACCATCCCCGGGGCGCATATCCCACAGGTGAAATGGCCATCTGAATGATACAATAGTTTCATTTTATGTAATATATATATATATATATATATATATATATATATGAAGAAATATACTCTTAAGGTGTGCTATATTTATGGGATAAAGTGCTCAATATCAGAAATAGAGCGTGTGTAAATATAAAAGTGAACATAGAAGTCACTTAGAGGCAAACAGGCTGTTTCATGCGTCATGAGTATTGCGTCTAGCATAAAACAGCCTGTCGACTCTAAGTGTTGACTTCAATGTTCATTTATATATATATATATATATATATATATATATATATATATATATATATATTGAAAGTTAATGAAAAATGATTTTTCGATAACATATTTAGAAATATTATCAAGGGACATGTCTCCACGTAATGCAAAAATAAAATGAACAAAACATGAAATGGAAAACGTCAAAGCGGTCCCTTTTTTTTATCTGGGTCAGTGTAAAAGTGCACGACTTTTCACTCATGCGTAACACATGTTGGACTATGTAGACCTAATGGAATTCATTCATCCTTCCGCCTTTGCCTGGACTTCTGTTTAGGCAACTCCTGCCCAGTGATGCAATGTCATCTCAGCTCTGAATACATTGCCAGTTCAGCACCATGTGTAATGTTTGCCTGCACGATGTAATTAACCTCTTTTGGTAAAAATCTTCAATTCCCAGAGCCTCTATCCCACTACACGTGGATAATCATAATCACAGTCAAAAGAAGTAAGTTCAAATTGTATGGACACATAATAAGAGCCCAAAATTTCTTTCCTCGGTCACTATATAAGGTACCCTCTGAGGCAAACAAAAAAAAAGAGACAGTCAGCGGGAAAATGGGCTGACAACGATACTGGGTGAAATGGAATATCATTCACAAATGTTCAATCATTGCTGGCAACCCAGACATATGAAGGGGGTTTGTCAGGTTTTCAATTTCGCAGTGATCCTACGACCACACCCGTATATGGGACTAGTGATAATTATAATAATGGTGAAAACTGAAATGGCTCTTGAGACTAGCTTGTTTTCCAAACGTTATGACGAGGTATCCCTCTTTCTTTACTATTCGATTTCATAATGGTATCATTAAACCAAAATAATTGATCCTCACGTATTGTAACCTTTTAGAGTCCCAGGGGTACCACACTTGCTAGCGGTATTTATTGGGCAAGACAGCCTAACGGAGCCCAACCCTCTCTAGGCTGGTTTGGAAATCAGTTTTTCTTTCTTTTCTTTCTCCTAGATAGGTTGCCACCTAAGGACGCACTCTGTCCTACTAATTACCATTAGCTGGAAAGTGGAGGAGAATAGATTGATACATTCTTTTCCTAAGGATATTAGCATGTATGTGATTTTAATGAACTCCACTTGAATTCGAATTCGGCTCTCCATTTAAGTAATTTATCCATTACACCACAATGCCTCCAAATTCTATTGTATTATTAAAATTGTGATTGAAGCAAATCGATAGCGTTAGACATCATCGTATACTTTTACAGTCAACGACGAAATTATACGTTCACATCAATTTTTAATATTTTTATCTATTTCTCAGAATGTAATGAACGTATGATACCAGATTTTTCTATTTTAATACACACAAAGAAAGGAATATAAAACTAAATTTCCAGAATAATAAGTTACATACAACAAATTTGACAGGCGAATTATGCAAAATATGAAAAGACAAGATTATTCGTACAGTAGAAATTAATTGATTCTTGTAAGTATAAGTAATCAGTGAAACCTTCTAGACTATTTATTCGGAAGAATATTTATGTTAAGTTCAGCAAAGAACATCACGTGTTGCATAGAGTGTCATCATTGTCATTCTTACGTCACGATGTAGGAAGACAAAGCTTACCGTTGACCTGAGACAGAGAATAATTAACTTCCATAAGTCGAGAAATAGCTACAGAACTATTTCAAACCGGTTAGCTCTCCCTTATATCTACAGTAGAGTCTGTTATAAAGAATTTTCTACAGTTTGGGACGACAGAGAATTTGTCTGGGCGTGGAAGAGAACCGAAATTGTCACCGAGAACTTCGTGAAAACTGTGTTGTGAGGTCAATATAAACCCAAAAGTTGTTTTGAAAGACACCGCCAGACGATGTGTATTAGTGTAAGTCCTCGCACAATACAACGTTGTTTAAATAGAAATGGGTTGTATGGAAACCGATCACGACAAACACCGCTTTACAAAACGTGTCACATTTTTGCTCAATTTAATTTTGCCAAAACGTTCTTGAACAAAGAAAATTACTTTTGGGTACAGGTACTATGAAGTGATGAAACAAAATAGAGCTTTTGGGACATAATGATGAACATGGAGGCGATTCGGTGATGTTTTATGGCTATTTTAGATCAAGGAGGACTGGATAATTAATTGCAAGAGGAAAAATGAAATCTGCAGACGATATCAACATTCTGGATGAATATCTACAATTATCATCTTGGCCGATGCTTTACTTTCCAGCAATATAATGATCCCAAACATACGTTTAAATCAGTGACTGCCTGGCTTCAGAAAAAGAAGATTACAGTTTTGCCATGGCTTTCAATGAGTCCTGACTTGAAACCTATTGAAAATCTATGGTAAGAATTGAAAGTTGGAATAAATTGTCGATGACCAAAACACCTTCAGGAATTAGAACGTGTAACCATTGAAGAATGGAAGAAAACCAAAAAAAAAAGACTCATCAGAAACTTTAGAAAACGATTGGAACGAATTATAAAGATGAGAAGCCATGAGAGGACTATTGATATTGTGGAAATTGATCATTTTGTTTTCTATTTTTCATACTGTACGAATAATATTGTCGTTTCCTATTTTGCAGAATTCGCCTGTCATATTTGTTGTATTTAAGCTATTGTTCTGAAAATTGAGTTCTATATACCTTCTTTTTTTTTCTAAACACTTAAAAAGTCTGATGGGATACGTCATTAGATTCTGAGAAATGGATAAAAATGTTAAAAATAGATGGGTGTTCGAATAATTTCGTCGTCGACTGTATGTCATATATTATGTGTCATATGTGTTAAGTGTTCACAATATACAGTTAAAGATATCAATATTGCTTACATTCATTGATACATTTCCTACTTCAGTTTACTCGAAACTATGATCTAAATGCTAAGGTAGTTACCACATTCACAGTATAAAATGTTTATATTTCTATAACTATACAATTATAAAAGCCACTAAGAAAGCAAATATTTGTTTCTAAAGATCGCAAAAGATTTTACCGCAAATGCATAACAAAACGGCCATTTTTTATTTGATTTTTAAAGTCGAATATGCAAATTGCTTTCCTCCATTAACTAATGCCCGCAACATGGTGCAAAATATTAAACATATAGTTGTAAACCGCATTTAGGGCACTTCCAAGTGGTGTAATGTTTAGCAGGATTGTCTAAATAGATCAATAATGACTGACTAGTAAGTTCGATCCTCACTAAGTGCCCTATACTTTCGACCCTGTACCACGTCTAAGCTACGCTTAGTAAATCTCAAACTTACTAGTCACATGCCAGGTAAGGTCTTATCATCTCTCATTTGCGCCTTCGAGTAGAGTACGACTCAGTTGTCTACCTACAGAGACGCAACTGAGGAAAATAAATACTGTGAGGTACCCGGTCCTGCCCTGCGGACAACTCCATAGAGAGGAGGATCGGTAGTCGCTACCCAGGCCCGCGTAAACGACGGCTGCGGGGGGCTAGGCAATTTTTGTCTTTGGCCCGGGTGTATTTCATTAGGTGTCAAGTGGTCAACTGAACGGCCATCGGCGAGTTCAAGTTCCGGCCTCGACTGCTGCGTTTCGCTTCGCTTTTAATCTCTTGGGAATAAACGCGTAGTAGACCCGTGGTTCTACTTCGTGGATCTGCTTCGATGGAGTATTGGATAGCGGACTGAGGAATCGGAAAGCCGAGTTCGAAGTCCACTCGGATCCGTTACATTTGCTTACGTGCTAATACCCTTAGGAAATGTATGAATCATTTTATTTCCGTCCCCCGCAGTAAATACCAGGACAAACTGGACAGTATAGCCTTGAGTAGCAACCGCTATAAGAGAATGTAACTCTAAATTCAAGACATAAAATGTAGACCTGGCGTAGCATATGCTATACAGCTAAAGAAAGCTGAATTCGTTCGACGATCCCGACTACGGTCGAGTGATGAAACCCACGGGGCTATACATTCTTCTTCTATTTAGTCCAGAATGTGCGTGATCATGGCTCTCCACAATTTCCTATCCTCTGCAGCTACTTGTAATGTTTATCTTTTCACCATATTTCCAATTCCTAGTTGTGACAAATCTCGCTATGTATGTTATTCTCTATTTCCGTTTTCCTTCTATACGTCCTGTGAGTGTCAAATTCTCCAAGCCCTTCTCCCGCATTATGTGTTGCAGACATTTCAACTGTCTCTTTCTGATTTCGTGAATTGAGCTTTCTTTTATTTCCATTTGCTTTAAAACCTCCTCATTACAATTGAAACACCGGTTCTCGTATGATCACCGAAGTTAAGCAACGTTGGGCGTGGTCAGTAACAAGTTTAGTGACCACTTTGAATACCAAGTGTTGGAAGCTTGAATGTGCAGGTGAGGTAAGGAATAAGGCCACGGAGTTGGAAATTGAAGAGCCAAGTTCCAGTTCCAGCCGGATTCGTTATATTCACTTGCGCGCAAATACCCATTTGGAAAAGTATGAATTCACCTATTCTCCCCGAGCTATGAGTTAATGAGTAGAACTTATATCATTAAATCAGTATTATCCCCAAAAATGTCTTCTGAATTTAAATAACCTTCAAAAGGCTGATAATCCATAAAAAAGCAAATCAATCAGGTTACTCAGAGTTTCTCTCCATGAGATTCTCAGCATCCTTCTGTATAGCTATATCTCAGTTGCCGGAAGTGTCTTTCCCATCTGTGAGGAGATTTTCCAACATTTAGTGCCATATACAAGGGCTGATATTACACAGCATTTCAGCAGACCTTTGTTTCGAATGAAATTTTCTTCTTTCTAATGACACTTTCTATACTTGCTTAGCATCTAGATGGCATCTTCTACTATCCCAATGCACTTTTCAATTGTGGTGTCATATTTTATGTCCACTGTTAACACATTTTCCCAGGGAGTTAATTTCTGTATTTCGACCTCTCCAATTTCCTGCTCGCTTCTTGGGCTGTCTCTTTTCCTAACAACTATCACTATTCCAAATATGATTTGATGATATTTTTATATATATTTTAAATAATTTTGTTTTAAATTTTCATTAGAATTTTAATAAATAAATAAATAATTAATAATATAATAATAATATGATATAATAATATAATAATAATATATATAATAATATATATGCTAAATATATATATATATATATATATATATAATATAATATAATAATATAATATAATAATAAGTTTTAATATTAAATAACTTCTATAATTATCAATAAATTATGTTAATTATATTCTACAGAAAACATCTTATTCCTCTTCTATGTGGCGTCTCTCGTCCTGACGTTTCTGTTGTCTCAAGTCTCTTCTTCAGGAAATTGACGACGTACAGGAGTGTAATCACATTTTTTGACACTGATGGTCCTCCTGTGCGAGGCCCAAGAGCCCGTCGAGTTAGAGGGTTACAGAGTAAGATGTACCAGCTTAAACAAGCTTATAATGCCACGAATTGCAAAGAGACATCGGAAGTAAAAGAGAAGGGAAAGAATTTTTTTAAGTGAACCGGGAATACAATACCCCTTTTTAAAAGACCGGGGGGTGGAGTGTGAACGGGATGATAGACGAACCTATCTACTCCTATTGAGGAAAAAGTAAATGAATAATAAATAAAATTTAGGAGTTTTAGGCGGAAATGTTGGAAGTATAGAGCTCAGTTGATTTTAGACGGAACCCGAAACCCAATCCTAAACAGGAAACAAGGTATGAAAGAATAAATCTCATGCTTCATTATACAGCCCAATGAGGTCATTATACTGTAAGAGCAAAATTGTCTAATTGTTAGATTAAGCCGTGAACAATTGTATCTTAGAAATGATTAAAGATATCTTACTGGAATTATACGAGGTTTTTATAACACTATTGGACTCTGCTTTGAACAATAATAATGTATTTAGCTCTAAGTTGAAATGATGATCACTCTTGCTGATGTGACTCCCTGGTCCAGATTTCCTTTCTACTTTGATGGTGGAAGTCAGAGTATAAATGTTGGTACCATTACTGAAGGCCTGAATGATCATTTTCCTCTTACCATTACTCAGTTGAGAAGAATTACTGAGGCTGGCACAAAACAGTTTTAACCTGTTCTCTTTCTAGCTGAATAGCTCAAAGGGTTTTTTCCAGTAATTCTTACAACAAATGGTGTCAAGATGGCTAAATGTCTTTATTTGAACACCTGAGATAAAGAAACTCGGTGATTTTTTTCTTTTTTTTTTTATATATTAAACATTTTTTTTAACAGATAATTATCGCATGCTGTTACAATTTTGATGTTACACCCGGTACATCACGGATGTGAACTTGTGCCAGGCATGTGTAAGCTTGGTTAATAATATCTATCTATATATCTACTAATCTACGCTTCTCTCGATGTTAATCAAGTTGCCCGCCCAAAAGCCAGCTAAAATAAAAAAAAAAACACCACAAGTGCCCTTCCCTGTTTTTACAATTTTTTTTTTTTTTTATGAGCAAAACGCATCAGCAACTTTTTTTATGGCCCGTCACTCTAGAGTTGCACTGATGCATTAAATGTGACTAACAAACCGGATTAGGAATTTTATTTCTATCTAATGTCTTTACTAGGCAGAATTCCCGCTTCTCTGCAAAACAGTAGCTATTTATGGCATCTGACATAAAAATGGAGTCTCTTGGTTGACAAAGCCTTCTTCAGAATGTTTTTTTTTTTCCTTTTTTACTTTTGCTCTCCCGAATTGCCTCTAAGTTCGTTTAGCGTAAATATAGGCTTTTTGTTGACCTTTCGTTTGGATTTATATATGGGGCTTTTTATAGGGTGAGTGCGTGTGTCAATACATTTACCCGATACCTTTTCTTATGTGCTTGCGCATCTCTACGCTGGTAGCGTGTATTTTTGCGTGTGTGTGCATATGCATGTGTTAATCTATTTCTGTAAGTTCAAGTGTGTGCATGTTTATGTTTTTATGCGCTGTTGTGAATGTCTTTGGTATGAGTGTGCGCGTATGTGTGGGTCTGGATTTTTATGTTTATATATTCAATTATAAGCGTGTATACATATGTGTATGCACCTATATGCCTTTGTGTGTGTATGCCTGTCGGATTGCGTATGTGTGTGTATGGAGGTCGGTATGGGTCTCAGATGACGATCAAGTTGTTAGAATGGGTTGGATTTCACCTGGTCACCTAAGTACATATTTGAATCAATTCAGCCCGAGGGGATAAAGTCACTAAGACGAAAGGGGTTACTAGACGTGAAAGAGAATAACAAGACTTTCGATGTAATCGGAAACTCAATGCTAAACAGGAAATCAGGGATAAAACTCTGTTCTGTTTTAAAAACCAGATGAGAGTATGAACTTGACGGATAGGCGAAGCTATCTACTCCTTTTGAAAGAGATGTTGGAAGTATAGAGTCAACATAGTCTTTTGAAGGAACAGGGAATGCAGCCTTAAACAGAAAACAAGTTGTTGTGACCAAGTAAATGGTTAAAGAAATAACAAAACAAGTGCTACAGATATATCATATATTAAACACTAGTGCAGCAGATGAGTATTACATTATTAATGAGTGCTCGTCAGTTGACCCAGCGTTCAATCTATTCGACTGTTATATTTACCAGCCTCCCCACGAGGTAGGATGTGGCACAAGGCCTAGTTTAATGTGAGACAATCCAAGCCCATAAGCTCGGCCAAACATTCCCCATAGATCCCGTATAAAACGGTATCAGGAAGCTGTTTTCCCGAGACGAGACTCTGCCCTTCGACACAGCCTCATCTGGGGATCCTCTCTACCTGAAGGCAGAGAGTTTGACCAGCAAAACCAGACAGATCTATTCGACTATTAATATTTAACAGACCCCCACGAGGGATGTATGTGGCACAAGGCCGAGTTTACCGTGGGATCTGCGAGCCCGTAGGCTCGGCCAAAAATATTCCCTTAGAACCTGTATAGACAGATTCAGGGTCTGTCTACCTCCCCGGACGAAACTTTGCCCAGCGGCAAAGCCTCGTCCGGGTTCCTCTCTGCCCAAAAGCAGAGAGTTAGACAGCAGCTGTGTAAAGTTACAGCATCGAGAGAACAACCTATTCGGCTGTTATATTTAACAGTCCCCCCACTAGGGATGTATGTGGCACAAGACCGAGTTTACAGTGGGTTCTCCAAGCTCGTAGGCTCGGCCAAAAATATCCCCTTAGAACCCGTATAAACGGGTTCAGGGCCTGTCTACCTCCCCGGACGAAACTTTGCCCAGCGGCAAAGCCTCGTCCGGATTCCTCTCTGCTTAAGGCAGAGAGTTCGACAGTATGAACAATCTAGTCGACTGTTATATCTAACAGCCCCCACACGAGAGATGTATGTGGCACAAGGCCGAGTTTAATGTGGGTTTTCCCAACCCGTAGGCTCGGCCAAAATTATTCCCTTAGAACCCGTAAAAATGTGTTCAGGGTCTGTCCACCTCAGCAAAGCCTCGTCCGAGTTTCTCTCTGCTTAACGCAGAGAGTTTGACAGATGAACAATCTAGTCGACTGTTCTTCACAAGGCCTTCTCTCCTATTATTCTTATAGTAGGCGGAAGAGTCCAACATAGACTCTTTAGAGGGAGGACACCACAACGCAAGTGGAAGATACCAACTCCTGTTCAAAAGACCAAGGAAGATTGTTAACTGGACGATAGGCGAAAGTATCTAATCCTATTGAAAGGAAACGTTGGAAGTATAGAGTCGAAGTAGTCTTTTGAAGGAAGTGGATATCCAATCTTAAACAGGGAACAAGTGATAGACATCAACTCCTATTCAAAAGATCACGGAGGAATTTTAACCGAACGATAGGCGAACCTATCCGCTCCTATTAATCTTAAATGTGTAAACGTTTAGCAGCACAACGTCCTTGCTTTGTACCAAAGGAAGTAATGCGTAGTGAATGACTAAAATAACAAGCGAAAAGAAATAATAAAACTAGAAAAACATATAAAATCCACTGGAACAAGCCGGCTACTTCCACATATATCTGCCATAATCTCTACAACTTCATTGTTCTCAGTAACTTTTGATACTTTACAACCCCTGTCTTTGTTCTGCTGTCCATTCGCTCAGATTCACCCAGTAGCTTACTCGCAGTCAACCCTGCTTCTCTTCTCTTCAGTACGTTATTTGAATGCTAATTTCTTCATCGGCTTTTTTTATTATTATGTCTATGAGATCTGTAACCTCTTCCTAATTGTAAATATAAGTTTTCTTCTAGTTTCTATTTACGAGACACGAGAAATGGATAGTGGCTCGGATTGAGGAATCGGAGAGCCGAGTTCGAATTCCATTGAAGTTCATTACATTCACTTACCAAAATAGGAAAATCTTCAACGTGATATCACCGTAAACCT